GTCCCATGTAAGCATTAAGCCTTTGATAATCAATTGTTAAACATCAGCGCCTGTCTGGTTTTTTGTTTTTCACTAGCCTAACAGATTTTAGAACTGTAAGCAGAATGCATCTAAAATACAATGCCTTTTGTTCTAAATTTTTAATTACATCAAAACAGATTTTAGCAGTGTAACAGATAATTCTTTTTCATAAAAGCCAGTTAAACAATTTCAATTTTTAAAACTTAGGTTTAGTTTTTCAGCTTCCCTAGGAGTAATTAAAGAGGTTTCAATGAATTTCAAAGATTGTCTTTCTGCTCCTACAGCCAGATAAACAGAGGGGCTATTCTTATCAGAAAACCATTATGCAGGAATGCACCAGCTGGGCCCCAAAGTTCAACCAGCACTTAAGGTTTGTTTTCTTTTTCCTGCTGTGTTGCAAAGTGTAAGAAATGACTGCTCACTTTAAAATTTTAAAGGTTTATTAAACCTTAACAAATACAACAAAGGACTGAATAAGGAAAAAGGACAGCATACTGTCTGTGACCAGCTGCCACAAGCTCATCTACAAAATGGCTGCTCCGCCTTTTATACACCTGGGGGGGGGGGGGGGGGGGGGGGGGGGGGTGCATTAGGCAACCCTGGCCCCTCCCAAAGTCTGTCAGTCAACTCTTCTTTGCCGTCCATTGGTGGAGACTACTTTCTTGCAACTTGATTGGAGGTCAGGTGTTGTCATGCCACACAACCCTAGCAACAAGCTTTCCCCATTCTCAACTGCCCCATGCAAGGGGCACGTGTACACGCCTTTCTTCTACATGCCTCAGACAACCCAGGCTGTCTGGTGGCAACAATACAGAGGGGGGGAAGGGGACTATTGGGAGAACAGAGGACATCTAAACAACAAACCACAATAACAGAACCATACATTAATAAAACTTCTTTTAACTTACACACAATATTCATTCCCTAATTGTGAGAGCCAATCATAATATTACCTATCTATAACACAAAGGAATTGGAAGCAGGTTTTTTTTCTCTCTGTAGAAGGTTTGAGCTTAAATCTGCCACTCTCCCCTCCCCCCTTTGCTTGTAAGACATTTCTCCGTATTCCCAAAGCCAAGGCAATTCTCCATAGTCCATTTCTCTTGGGTGGATTATGTTTAACAGTTCTCACCCATTTGTGGAGGGACGTTTTTTGGGTGGGGATTGTGGGGTGTTTTAGTTTTTTGTTGTTTTGGGTTTTTTTTAAGGCGGTTTCTACATTTCAACATTTGGGCTTCTTTCATGAAATTTCCAGCCCATTTCTGTTCTCATTTTAGAAAACAACATTATTTCAAGGTTCCGTTGTGTAGCCATTTTCCTCCAGAATCTAGTTTATATTATGGCCACTATTTATGAAAATACTTCATCAAATTCTCCCTGGTAGCTGTTCCCCCAGGGGGCTCACCTTTTTTTTCCCCAGTGTCTCAAAATACAACCAAGTGGGGACTTCTTAGAATGTCCCCTTTAGATTGTCCTCTGACCATCGCTCTGACAGGGGACCAACCCCAAAATGTTACAATACAATACAAAACAGTTACACAAATACGAAACAATTATCAATCAATAATAACAAAATCAAATACCAAATTCTGGAGTACCAAATAATCCACCCACAGCACTGGAAAATCTGCACATCTTATGTGGGCAGGGTTCCTAGAAAGAATGCCTTATTAACAGGTGGGATCTTACCTGTGTCCCAGGCTGGACTGGGGATCTGTGGTCTCCTTCAGCAAAGTCCCAGTGCTGGCATGAAGATCCAGAGATCCCGGGATCCAGGGGAAATCAGTCAGATTGTCCCATCTGGGGTGCCAATTCTGATACCGAAATCGGCCAGATAGAAACTAACACAGTTTTGAGTATTAGAAAGCAGGCATTCTTTATTACAGCATCCTTGACATGAGGAATTTTTCCTTTAATCTCGTGTAACCTGAGACAGACAAGTAAGGCTTTTTATTATACATGTTGTTTACATATTCTTCAGGTATCCACACTTGCTTGATATATATTCATTGTCCTGTTTTGCATATTCCCATCCTTATCAAAAGTCCTTATTTGGTTCTTGGGGGTCTCTTTCGGGGTCTCTGGTAGTCTGTCCCCAAATTGTGGTGTCTTCTGGTTGACCTCTGGTTTTGAACATGCACAGTTTGTTTCTAGCAATTAGCAAGGTTGCTTTTATCTTATCTGTGCCTCCAGAACTCAGTCTGCATTTCTCAGGACTTTCCAAGGCTGTTTTGTCATAGGATGTAGTAATGCATAATTTCTCTTATCAACTGTCTTCCCTTGATCAACTAGGTGGATAACCTTGTCATAACCATTTATCACTTTAGATTTAAGGACCAAATAACTAAAATCCAAAGTGTTCTGCACCTATATTCATATTCCTTTTGCCAAGGGATATGTACCACACTGTTTGCACTAAAATTTAAAGATCCATTTATCAGACTTTTCTTTTTTCTGATCCAGTCATCAGACTTCAATGAGCCTCAATGGAATTAATGCTCCAGAATTATTATGAATAAAGTTTAGTTTTGAATACAGGCCTGTCAACAATTTACACATGATACAGTTAATGATTTTATAGAAAAATGAGAGATTTCTTGTTCCATACATTCCTCCTCAGATCTATTGAGTTAAAATAAACAAGCCTTTGTGCAGATTAAAAAAGCAAATGAATGCAAGAGGGACCATCAGAATGACTAAGTACTAGTATCAGTATGGTTATCCTTCCTAAAATACTCTCACCCTGACAATATCACAAATCTGGATACATTCTCTCCAAATATCCAGTTCCAAGGTTCATTCACAAAACAAGCAAACAAAAAACCCATCCCCAAACTGAACAAGCTTTTTATGATGCAGTTGAGTTGATTTGACTTTAATACAAAAAGGTAGAAAAAATATAACTTTGATGATTTAAAACAGCTCCACAATTTAAAAAAATAAAATTCATCCTAGCACATGAAAGCCCAGAACATGCCCTTGCTCCCTTAGCAGAAGCATATATAGTGGCAGTCGTAATTATTATGTATTAATCACCAGCAAAGATAGCTTCTTTCAAGTCAACATGTGCTGTGTGCTCTGTACTTTTGTTTTTCCTTGTGAAAGGTATGTATGGCATATATGACATTCATATTTGGATACAGACTCTGACAGCTCTGCCCAGGCCTTCTGATGAAGATTTTAACAAAACAATGCAGTCAGTACACTGGCTGTATTAGAACAGATCCACCAGAAATAACTTCTGTAGCCAAAAGGAGAAAAAAAACAACCCAAAACCCACAACAGAACAGAAACTTTTCAAGTTCACTACTAATATTTCCTTCATTCCCTTTTAAGCACATTGTTGTTTGCTGACATCTTTATTTGGTCATCAAGTAGTTACCTGTATTCCAGCTGTTCATGCTTTTCTGACCTCAACAAGTAATCTTAAAGAAGTCAGTATGTCAAAATAAGAAATAAGGAGGTTAGAATGGTTTAAGAAAAAAAAAATCTATAGTATTAGTTTTGTATCCCAACCGCCACAGGGCCACTTTTAAGTTACAGCAATAACTAAAACCAATGAACTATCACAAAAAGTATTTCCTTCTGTACATGATTTTTTATTATTTACATAATACAGCAGCGCGTAGATGCTGGATAGAGTGATTATGTGCAATACCTAAGTATGAACTATCTGTACATGCTTGCATATCTGATAACTAAATTGAAAGAAAAAATTTAAAGCAAAAGCTTGATTTTTTAATAGTGATTTAAAAAACTAAGATTGAACGCTGCAATAAAAATCATAAGTAGCATCTTGTGTACATATACATGAAGAGGCATTACAACACTAGTCTACACTATACTTGATTATATAAAAAACCACCACAAGTTTCATACATCACAAAGCCCCCTTCCATTATAACACAGAAATTATTTTACCAGACAAGCATCAGTGAACTATACTGTCCTTTCTAGTTATTGTACAAAGCTGTAGATAACGGAGCCCATGCAATACACCCAAGAACACTGCAGTCCTACACCCAAATACAATTTAAAATGATAAAGCAGCCTTCCAAGAGTGGTTCCAGCTCCCACTTAAGTCTACAGGAGTCATGTTGAGTTTGATTCCCATACACAACAATTGTTACATTTAAAACTTTTTTTTTTTTAACTGAAAAAGCTCCTAATAATCTTTTGAACCCAGAATGTGCTGAATTTAAGAAGCACATGAATAATAAACTGCTCAAATACTTCTGCAACTTACACAGGTGCACGTGTCACTTGATAGCTGCTGTGGTATGTCTAAAAATACCACCCATAGTTTTTGATTTCTAAGTCAATCTTAGCACAATATTGTGCTACATAACATTATTAGCTATGCAAGGAAAAGCAGACAACTGTTGCAGAACAGTTCTTAAGTTTCTAACAGGACATTTCCTTTGGGAAATTATTATAATTTTCATTATTCTAAAGTTGTTATCTGTTCTAAAATAGTTTTCTTCTCATACATATCTGATTTTTTCCCATTTTTCTCATTGCAATTGCTAAATTACTTTTTATTAAATATGGCACCAACACTCATCTTACTGGATGGTAGAGCCCTCTACATGTCTTATATTCTGCTGGAATACAATGGAGCATGGAAAAGAAAAATAAAATAAGATTTCAAATGGATAGAAGTAGACCATCAGCCTTTCTGACATATCCTTCTCCCAAACAGGCAGTCTTTGGCTAGTCATAAATACCTTGAACATCTCAAAAGGCAGATCTGCGGCAACATTAAGTAAACATATATTTAGCACATGTGAACTAGAGCCTGTCTTCTGTGCATGTGTATTCCTGTGCAGGTTCTAGCCATCCAATCATATTCTGAAGAGAGCATATACATTTTCAAGGACTGTATCTATCCAATTCGGCCTGCAACAAACACCCAAACATTGTGAAAAAACGTTAAGATAGACAAGGCTAAAATTAAAACTTTGGAGAACAAAGGAAAATGGCCATGCATCTGCTCTTTAATGCTTTCATAGGGCATATTAAAATAAAACAAAAGTCAGTCTTTTCACAAATAGACTAGCTTATATTCTCTGGATTTTTTCAGCCACCACAACTGGATTCTCTTTCCTGATTTTTGCTGCAGCTTCTGCTTTGTAATCATACGGACAGTTATGCTTGTCAGAATAACGGTGAAGTCCACAAAATAAGTTTCCACATCGGCAATCAAACCCTGTATAAAGAAAAGGAAAAACAACATCACTAGGAAGCTTCAGACTTAAGAAAGCTATAAATTAAGGGTTTACCCAGTTCAAAGGGGCTATGTACATCTTCTGTATCAAACAGATTAAGTGGAATTAATATTTCCAAATATCAACTCCATTAAGGGATCTAACATTATGGATTTTGTGACAGCAAGCAAAAGTTTAATGCCTACAGATTTCAACAAATTTAATTGATGTCCTGGATTGAAAGATGTGTATTCTATTTGCCATCTGTCAGAGGTAGGGCAGTTATCTTCTGTTAATTAGGCAGTTTTCTTTATCTCTTCCACAAACCAATCCTCCCTCCAGGAAATATCTTCTGTTAATATGCCATTGAGTATCACTGCATGACTGATAAAATTACATCATCCCATTGTGAGATGCTCACCCAGGGGGAGGAGCCAAGCATTCTTTCCTGGATATAATCAGAGATTTTGGGATACAAGAGTAGCCTTTTCCCACTGCATTCCCAGAGGAGCAGCTTTCTTCTCCACTGGATTCCCAGAGGAAGACCAGGCCCATCTACACCACTACCACACCTTCAGAGGAAAACTACACCCTCCTACAGGATCACTGCTTCAACAGAACCACATCTGTCACTCCAAGAGGACTGCAGCCACCATTTAATTAGACTGCTACCAACACCCTGACCCACATGGTGTCAGGTTGTCAGGTTGTATTCTGACTCTGTCAGTAGTTTGGGTTTTTTTGTTTGTACTATTACATTTGTATTTTTAGTTTTCCTAGTAAAGAACTGTTATTCCTATTCCCATATCTTTGCCTGAAAGCCTTTTAATTTCAAAATTATAATAATTCGGAGGGAGGGGGTTTACATTTTCCATTTCAGGGGAGGCTTCTGCCTTCCTTAGCTGACATCTGTCTTTTCAAACCAAGACAATCTAGTAAGAGGCAACTAATAATATAAATCTATTCAATATTAACAAAGTACTATCATACCCGTAAGGCCAACCTTCTTTCTGCATGTGAAACATCTGTTCTTCTTTGGTTTAGGCAGTTCAGAAGCTTTCTCTTCACTCTGTGAAGTACCAGGTTGAGAAACTGATGGGCTTGGTTGAGTAACAACTGTTAAAGCAAGCAAAAGAAATAAAGGTTATTTTTTTCCTTTTCTTGACCTCACTAGCATGTTTGTATTTATTAACAGTAAAATCCCCTCTACTAAGACCCTGAAGCTTATTGTCTGAAGCGGTAAGTAGAATAGGTATTCTATTAACTTCCCTTTTATCTCTACAGAAAATTATCAAGTTTTCCCCACTGTTCCATCATCTAGAAAATACAGCATACCTAGTGTTATCACCTGTATACACCCATATAGGTCCTGTACACACAATATTAAAAGTAATATGATCCAGTTTAAATTAATCTAAAACAATAACAACACTGTCTAAGTTGTTGAACAGAGGGGATACTTGTGGAAAATAGTCAATAGGACCATATTTTAGAAATAAATGACATTTACAGTAATGCTTTTTTGTCATAGTACCAAGTTACTCTGCCATTATACTTGCAAAGTCAGATGATCTAAAACCTCAAACAATATACCACCTAACATTCTTGAGCTTCAAACCACTGATTTTGTGATACACCAAGTATACTACTACAAGCCACACAGCTCAAAAAAGCCCTTATTTCACTTTTCTTCAGTAATTTAAAGAAAAAGCTACATATTTACATTGGATATCAGTATCCTTGTACTATATTCAACCATAATGATCAAGCAGTTTGAGTCAAAATGGTTTATTTTTCAATTGTCTTTGTCATGAACACTTTTGGTTACATTTCTCACTTTTTATCCAAGTTCTATGCAGGATAAAAATGGGTCCTTCTGTAGATCTGTTAGTTTTCTTTGAAAAATTAAATTTTTTATCAGTTGTTTTAAAAATCCTTTAAATACCCAAATTAGTGCAGAAGAAACACAAGGGAGATGTTTTTGTATACAAACTTTAATGCATACAACCCAGAGAGTCTGTCCCTGTTCAGTATTCCTGGACACTCAATTGTATGATTACATCTAATGCTTTAAAAAATAATGAGCAAACTGTAAAATATACTCCATAATTAATGATTGAGACTATAGGTTTAAAGGATTCACTTGTAACCAACTTTATGCTCACAAATATGATTTCTTAGTTGAGATCCTTTTAGATGAGTAAGCATGGCATTCTGAAAGTGGATTTTTTTCAACATCATGAACCCCTTATAGTTAACATTTTATTATCCTTACTATTAATACTTGCTCTTATAAGATTTTATTTGTATTATGTTCGTATGCCTATCACTACTAACACAAAGCCTCACAGATCCAAGCCCCATTGCACAATTCACTGTAGAAGTGAACAAAGAGAGCCTCCAGTCAGTTCATATTTCAGATTGTAAACAAGATTCAGTAGTGACAAACTTTTAGAGGCAACAAGGAACTTTCAGTGCTCATACCCAAAAAGTCTTATACAGGGAATCAGTATTTTCTTATACAATATTATAGCTGTAAGTCCTAGGGAACAACTCAAGCTCTTTACTGACTTTATTTTTGAATATTCTATAGATTCTTCTAGAAAGTGTGAAGAGTTCAGCATTAACACTATTTTGCTAATTCTGAGGACAACAATACTATCCAGTCTTGGATATATAATGTTTTTTCCATACTTAAGCATGCTATTAATAAAAAGCAAAGGTATGGCACTACAATCATAACTGCTATTAATACTTTTCAGAGTAATTTCAACAGCTGCTTTTTTTTAAGTTAAGCAATTCCTTTGCCTTGACAATTAATATTTTCAAAATTAACAGATATAACCTTTTGAACTTGTCTTTAAACCCCAAGGAAAGTAGTGTTCAATATTAGATATTCTAGTTGAAAGCCTATGACCAAAAACATCAGGTTAAAAACACTGACACCACAATGTAAACCTGTTGGATACCACACACCTTAGCTGACAGGAATTAAGAAATTGATTAAACATCTCCCAAATCAAGCAGCATGATCAAGCTCCTTTTTGATTTTTTGTATTACCAGTCTGTTTAAAATGAAATGCTAGTTATAAGCTATGGCAGGTGGAAAAAGGGAACCTTCCAATTCTCTGGTGGAGTGAGCAAGTGAGCAGCTGTGTGTGCTTAGCTGCCTACCAGGGTTAAACCACAACAGACCATTCTGGCACCCAACAAAGGGCTTGAAGGGTTTGAGATAACAACAGACTTGACTGGAATGTGCTAGGTCAAATTTATAGCTGTTAGTGCTGTTTAACTAGTAATCAGCAGGCTCCTGGGCTTGCCATGGGCTTGCTTGCCTGACTGCAAAATAAACTCTAGTGCTCATTAGTGGCTGCTTTTTGCTTTCACTGCTTATCGTCTTATTCTGCTGTGCCTGGGAACATTCTGATAACAGCAATGACCATGCATGCACATGGGCTGGCAAATGGCCAGTGCATTGCTGCTGTGATGGACAGGCTGGAACTCTGTGTGAACTCAAGTCAAAGGGACTGTGACCTGTGGATGAGTCCCCATGGAAACAGGACACCCTGAAGCATCTGTGGCCATGGTTACATCTGTGCCAGAGCAGGTACACCTCTAAAGGGATTGTGGCTCAAGAAGTCCACACTGGAGGAGGCAATACCTTGAAGCATCTGTGGCTGTGGATAAGTCTGTAACACAGCAGGTACACTCCTGAAGGGACTGTTGCTGTGGGTAAAGCCACACTGGAGCAGGTACATCTCTGAAAGAATTGTGGCCCATGAAAAAGGCCATGCTGGAACAGGTGCACCTCAAAGCAACTGTGGCTATGGATAAGTCTGTGCAGCAGAAGGTATACCCTAAAGAGACTGTGGCTTGTAGATAAAGCTCCACTTGGAGCAGGCACACTCCTAAGGGACTGCAGTCCGTGAATAAATCCAAGTCAGACCAGGGGCAAGGGGAAGAGTTCATTGCAATGTTAAACCCTATGGCCTGGTACAAAGGGATCAAGGGTAGAGATTGTAATGGATATGCCTTTAAACTCTTGTAATCTGGGTTTGGAGTTACATGTTATAGGATGCACTTATAGTAGGAATCACCTGAACCAATGGAGAACAAACCTCACAAGAAGCAGTACAAGTGCAGCAGTGACCAGATTTGAGCTCACTGATCCATCAAGACATAGTGTATTAGATAATTTTGTGTCACAATACAAAGATTAAAAACAAATCCATCTAAGTCAAAATGTTACCAACTACTACAAATAAACTTACTTCCTCCTCTACATAAATATACTGACCCTGAGATTTGCTGAGTTGGTAAGAGCATGGTGCTAGTAACACCAAGGTAACAGGTTTGCTTCCTCTGTGGGCCATTCACTTAAGATCTGGACTTGAAATCCTTGTGGGTCCCTTCCAACTCATAATATTCTGTGAACTCTGTGAAACTGACAGGTGTTCACCGCCACAACCAGCAACCTGGGAACTAGGAAGCAATGATGATAATCCAAAGTGAAAAGGCCCATTTCCGAAAAGAGGTGCCAAACAGGATCCTTCCTCCACAACTAAAAACATATTCCAAAACCAAAAAGCAGGTAACATGCAGAAATGGGCAACTAAAAGGTCCCAACACAAGGAGATTTCACAGGTTCCCCTAAATCAGAATTGTTCAATTTATTACTTGACACAGATAACACCTGCAAAAAGTAGGCATCCACCCACTTTCATGCCAGCAGTTAGATCTAATAATGGGTTTCAATAATTAAGTCCTCCAAGTAGCTTTGCATAACAGCTAGAACAGGGACAACACCCTTTAACTAAAGCTCACACATAAAAACAACCCCCCATTTTTTCATCAAACTGTATCTCAAATGAAATATAAGTTTTAGTTCTTCTGACATGACATTAATAGCCACATTAATCAGATACTATCCTGACAACTGCTTCTCACAAAAAGCTCCCTCTACTACACATTAAACAAATTTTACGCCAGAAATCATACTGTGTTAATCATCAGGCAAAGTACTCAAAGTGCCATGGAATAAATCACTAGACAAAAGCTGAAACGATGGTAGGAAAATGGTTGTTACTGTCACCTGCAGACCTGCCTCCTCAGTACCAATAACCCTATTCATATGGAGCAAAGCCTTTTATCACCAGAACATGATTTATTGCCTTAACAGAGGTCCTGTTGGCATGTAGCTCTCTTCACCACCAAAGTTATTTCTCTTGCCAACTACCAGCTCAGATTACCAGATGAGGTTTGTTTCACTTCAATTTTAGGAGACCAGATCTCCTGCTACAAGGTTGAAGAACTTGGGAGCAAAAAGAAGTTTGCAGAAATGGACATGATTTTTTAATTTTATTAAGTAATATAACAATAAGTTAATCACAGGCAGTGTAAAATGCAGTGCCATCAGGAACAACAAAACAGGCACAGGGGATGCCATTCAGAGGGACCAGGACAAGCTCAAGAAGTAGGCCCATGTGAATCTCCTGAGGTTCAACAAGGCAAAGTGCAAAGTCCTGCATTTGGGTCAGGACAACCCCCAATATCAATACAGGCTGGGGGATTCAGGGATTGAGATCATCCCTGTATAAGAGGACTTAGGGGTAGTGGTGGATGAAGACCTGGATGGCAAAGGCATGGACTGGGAGAACAAAGAAGCACCCACTGTAGGAAAAGATCAGGTTTGAAAGCATCTAAGGAACCTGCAGGTGCACAAGTCCATGGAACCTGATGAGATATATCTGCAGGTCCTGAGAGAACTAGTGGATGAAGTGGCTAAGTCACTATCCATCATATTGGAGAAGTCATGGCAGTCTCCAGCGAAGTTCCCATTGACTGGAAAAGGGGAAACATAACCCCCATTTTTATAAACAGAAATAAGGAAGACCCAGGAAACTACAGGCCAGTCCATCTCACTTCAGTGCCTGGCAAAATCATGGAGCAGGTCCTCCTGGAGACTATGCTAAGGTACATAGGAAATAAGGAGGGGATTGGTGACAACCAACGTGGCTTCTCTAAGGGCAAATCATGGAGATCTTTATGAAAGGGTTACAGGATTGGCAAATATGGGAAGAGTGACAAAAAAAAATCTACCTGGGCTCATGCAAAGC